TTTGTATCTGTTCAACCAACTAAATTATCTGTATCTGTACAGTAGCTGTACTCAGAATGGGCTGGGTTTGAGCTGGAAGTGGGTGGGGTTTAATTCGAAAGAGGATGCGTCCTAACCGGAAGTTGTCATTTTAAGCCTGAAATCCATATGGCTTAATCAAAAGTTGCTAGATTTATTATTCATTCAAAACTGGTGTACAGATCAATCTCAGAATTAGGATTCAGATCTTGTTTGATCATATGTTTAAATGACCTAACATGACTTCAGCCAGATGACCTGATATGACTCTGACAAATCTGGGTAGGTGAGGAGAAGCAATTGTTCCCAGAACTAGTTATCTGAATAATAGGAAACAGCAGCTTAAGTGACAGGAAGTACCTACAGTTCCTACAAAGCTTGTTTGTCATACTATAAATTGTCATGATGTACCAATTCTTTGGCTTTCTCACAAGTAAACCCTCAAATGTCCAATCTGATGTGTTTTGATTTTTTCTATTCCTCAACTATCACAAGACATAGAGAATAAACGCAGCTACCCAAATGAGGGTTTTCCTTGGTCATGAATACAGATATTGGAACATTTTACTCATATAATCCTTGTACTCTTAAGAAGTACATAATCTGTGCTGGATAATTGTTTCATCCGAGTCAGCTCAACCATACTCTGTAGGTCTTCAGTTTTCTTTTCCTAATGAGTTTTTGGTCTTAATGGCTGGTTTTCAAATTCAACCCAATTGCCAGGACTTGTGGTTTTGTTTAAGCACAACAAAACACTTGGTTATTTTTTTGGGGAAAAAAATCATGTTTTGGTTTAAGATGGCCTACCAGGTGTTAGTTACACAATCCCTGTTGGAAATGCAGCGATGTCTCACTAAAAAAACAACAGCTTTTTGTGGCACACTCCCAGCTGGAAACACAGAGTTGTCTCAGTAAAAAAACAACTGCTTTTCATGGCACTATCCCCAGTGGAAACACAGCATCACATTGATAAAAAACGCCTATGTTTGGTGGCTTAAAAGCTGCTAAAAACTCAGCAATGACTCGCTAAATAACAACCAGTTTTCTGCAGCTTGGCAGAAGTCTCGACTAGAAGTCACGCCATTCACCGTCCCCTCTACCTCCCGATGACAGAGTCAGCTTATACTTATACTACGTCACTTTAGAAACATTAATATGATACATATGATACAAATTTAAGATTTTGTGGTATGGACTGCAAAAATGTACAATGCCAACATTTTCTTCTGGTGACTGGGCTAGTCATTTAAAATAAAATATACCATAATGCAGGGTACGTGTGGCTACCTTGTCCAAATATGGTCACTTTTGGCTCCAAAAAAACAAGATGGGGACAACAATCTGTAAGACCTCAGAACTGCAGTCTACAAACCAATGTGTGATGTCACAGTGGCCACAACCATTACTTTATAGAGTCTCCACAAAAAATAAAATAAAATACAAACTGACACAATAAATGCTGATGTGCAGGTTAAAGTAAGATCAAATATAATCATCTTAGCATTTACAAGATGGCAATGAGCAAGGAAAGAAGAAATGACAATTAGCAAGAAATTAGTAAAAAGCAAAAATGAAAAACAAGAAAAATAGAAAAAAAAGAAATTACATGAAAAGAGTGCTTAAAAATTATAATTATTCCGTAACATAATTTTTCCCTAGCTTTTTTCTTTTATCTCTATTTAAAAAATAATTTTCTAAATCTATTATTTTTTGGATTTTTGGGGGGAAATTGTTCAATACCTTTTTCCCAAAGTTTCTGAAAGAAATGGCACCAATTTGCTCAAGGTTTGAAGGTTTAAATACATGCAGAAGGCATCTGGAAGCAGCACAAGAAATTACATATTTTAGTATCCTTTTTATGCTCACTAATGTCACATTTTATTGTAGGGAGGGTTCTGCTTTAAATGGTTAGCTATGTAAAAAAAAAAAAAAAAAATCTCACTGAAGCTGTGTTAATAACCACCTCTGCAGCAGCAGCAGCAGCAGCAGCAGCTTTGTGAGGAGAGGAAAAAAAGTTTGCCATTTACTTTGACATAAAGTTTAGGGCATTTTCCATGTCACCTCTCACATGGTCTGTGATCTGTGGCTTTGAACGGTACAGCTATGTTAACAAGCTTAAAGTGCCGGTGGAGAAACACTTTGGGGCACTGTGACAAAGAGCCTGATGTTAGAAAATAAAAAAACAAAAGAATCCTTTTTGACAGCAGTGGATTTAAATTCTCTGGAGCGACTTCCCTTCTCTGTCATTGTGCCTGTTGTTCGGTACGATGAATATGCAAGATTATCTGTGTGTATGTGTATGTATGTGCATGCATATAAGGACACACAATTAATCGTGTCCAGGCCTGGCCACCCATCAGATTTCTTGTTGCCCCTGGCAATTGGGTCACTGCTGAATGGTATCCATTGGTTACCTAAACATTCTGGGCAGCACAGATGGACAAAGAGAAACGGTGCAGCTGACAGCACACAAACACAACTGCACACAACTTAATGTATTTCCCCTCTGATTCTAAAAATTGCTTCTGATGTCCTCTGTCTCTGTCAGCGCTTTGACTCAGCAGCTGTTTCACTGTTGAATCAGCCAAGTGCATTGTATGTTTACATTCACACTGGACAGCTCATGTTGAACATGTAGCCTATCTACTGTACATGGTACAGTTTACTGGTTTAGGAGCCTGCTCGAATCCCACAATAATAATTCTCACGCTTACTGTTGTTGGACAAACACTATGTAAACTGAAAATAGGGAAACAAGAGAATGTGAAAGTATATCACACTCTGTAAGACGGGGGCACCATCTTTGAGATACGTGATTGATTACATCTCTTACCAAAGTGTATGCATTTGGTCCAAAAACAAGATAGCTGACAATATCCAGGTATGTAAGTGGAGGTAGTGCATCAGGGTCTGTAATACAGCCATGGGTTGCAAAGTCATATGGATCTATGTTGTTTATTGATATTAGTTTGCCCTAATACTGTTGTTTGACCACTGTAGCAAACACAACGTGGTCCTCACGAGATGGTGTCCCCATCTGAAAAGTTTAATATGGTGTGACATGAACCTCACACTCTTCATAATTCATGGGAAAGTACAGTCCCATGAATTATGAAATTTCAGAATAATTAACAGGTCAGTGAAGATTCTCAGTCATCCAGGTCATGGTAATCTTAAGTGCTAATATCGTGGGCAAGCAAGTCCAGTTCCCCACGATATTAGCACTTAGGAAAACTCAATAAGGGTCAATCACTGATATGTTCAGGGTGTCTGAAGGTTTATCCAGACTTTAGACTTCAAGGATCGACTTTTTGACTCAATTTAAGACCAGATTCACATTTGTGCCTGCAACTGAAATTTTGAATTTCCTGTGGTGGAAGTGTTCTCTGGGCTAGCCTCAGCACAAATCAGTCAAACTGGCTAAAAAGTGAGTTTTTCCTTATTGTACAAATTTTTTTCATTGGGCAAATTGGACCACTGTTTATTTATATTTCGTTAAATTTCAGGAAAATCCATGTGCCCAAGGACGAAATAAAATATGAGAAAAATAACTGCAAGTGTTTAGTATCTATGAACTCATAACAAGCTGAATATCGATATGCACACATATGCAGCGTAAAATGTCTTCCATAGACATTCAATAAACAGCAACTTAGCGCCTTTCCTGATTTTCCTAAATCCTGACTTTGACTATTGATTACAGTTTGATGTTTTTTATAGATGTGGTGTACCTTCAGGTCCCTACCCAAAGAATGTCCATAACAGATTTCAAGAAGTTCTTAACTGCAAGTGAAAATGTTATGACCTTCAAAAGTGAATGTGCAATTTTAAACTCCACACAGAACTATACTAGGAAACTGATGACAACCTTATATGCAATATGGTAATGTTCACATTGGTATGGAAGCCATGAAAGGCAAGGTGAAAAAAAAAAAATTGTTGTGGGCATTGTTGGCCAAAAAAGTTTCTCTTTTGTACGTGAGATCTCTCCTACCTATCTGATGTTGTCTTCTAGGGTTAATTAGGTGAGAAAACCATGCAGAATAAAGCGCTTACCGCACAATGCAAAGGGCATTGAAAGTTCAGCCAAATGCAGCATAAAGAAAAGGTTTTACCTTCTCAGTTAACTAACTACAACTTTGATCTGTAAAACATAATGGAACTGTGCAGTGGAGAATCCCAGCAGATAACCCTTTGCTATTGATCAGAATATTGTTGCTACTGACAAAGAGCTGCAACAGTGATTATGTAAACCCAGTCTCTCGGCTGGTAATTGAAATGCATGTGGTAGGCCAGTCGGAGTTTCATTGTAACGTTAATGCTAAAAACATGAATCAAGCTCTTTCTCTTGCTTGATCGGTGAGTAGACTGTGTATGTGTGCGCGTGGGAAACTATACATTGCAGGTAAGCGGTTTTTGTGTATCTATGAAATAAAGTCCTGCCAGCGCCATTGCACAGTTCCGTTTTGTTTCACAGTGGACATTGATAGTTGAACCTTTTGTTTATTCTGCATTTGGCTGAACTTTCAGTACCCTTTACATCATGTATGATATGTTCATTCTGCATGGCTTTGCAAGGCTCAACAAGCCTATGAGGGACAAAATACTTGATATGTAGGAGATAATATCTCCTAGGTGATAATAATAAAAGGTGGTCCTATGTAGGAGATAAACTTAGGAGATGATATTTCCTAGGTAACATAGTTGTAAATGACAAAAATATAGGAGATAGTATCTGCTTTGTAGGAGATAACCTTAGGTTTTGGCTAACATTGCCATTTTTTTTGCCTTGCCTTTCAGGGCCTCTGTAAATTACTGTAATTCAGGACTAAGGCTTAAAACCAGTTTCTCTGTCCCAAATCTTCACTTCTCTCTTTTCAATCTCCCTTTCCTCTTCTTTCCTTTGCTATACTTGTACATTTCTCCTCCCCTCCTCCTCTCCTTCCCCCACTCTTCTCCCTCCCTGCTCCTGCCACCCCCAGCATGGCCGTACCGAGTTTTCCTGGGAAGGAATCAATGTAAGTCTCCTTGTTTAAATCTCCTTCTTTTCCTTCTTGTTGTTGTCATTTTGCCCTCCATCACTCACCCACTACCTTTGAGTACATAAGTTGACATCCTACTCGTTTATCCTTCCACCACTTCCTGCCACTCTCTGTCTCTTATCTCTCTCTCCCACTGCTGTACCTCTCTCTTATCCCCCAGTTTTTCTTTTTCTCCCCTCAAACTCTCCCTTCCATTCGTCTCCTCGCTTGGCCCTCTGCTAATCTACTGTACTGCAAGCCTCATGTATATACAGAGTCACAGATAACAGGCTGTAATAAGCTTATCTTATCCACAGCTGAAGCCTTCGTACAAGTCCCAGTTTTTACTGAAGGCGCTGCATGATGAAGTGCATCACTGCTCAACTGTTTCTGTACCTTCAGCAGAATTATTTGCACAATGTGAATTTTGTTGACTCAGATATGCCCAGAGGCAAATAATCTCACATAGGCACGCTTCTGTTTCAAGCAACAGAGTCTGGAGAAATGTTCTTATACACAAAGACCTTGCTAACCCAAAGGGAGCACTGTCTGACTTTGAGATCGACTTCTAACTCTTGTAATTGTGGTTTGTTTTCTCTAGCCAGGTGGACCAAGATTGCATCATGAATTTAGGGGAAATGCTTGCGAATTTGTTAGAAAATGAAATGAAGTTTTATTAAATTTGTCTTGCAGCCAGAGGAAATTTTATCATAAAGTTTGCTGAAAACAGCGTTCTTATTTGCAACTGGTTTGAATGATGATGAGAGCCCACAATGCTGTGGCACTTACTGTTTTATTTCTCCAGAATTCTTTTGTTTTACGCATTAGTGTGACTGTGCAAGATTCAAAGGCACAAAGGGATTTTGTGTTTTTTTTTGTTGTTGAAAAATACCATGGATGTGTTAAGAGGATACATGGATACATCATTGGCAGTGGGGCTCCGTTCATTCCTGTGCAAGTTGCTCTGTGGCGCATGGAGCCAAAATTGCTCTATTTCTGTGTGAAATTACCCAGAAGATTGGTGTTGTTTTGGCATAATTGGGCCCAGAGAGCAGGCGCACTAGCGCGGCCAAGCATCCAACTTCCATCAGCCAAGCGGCTGACATCCGGTTTAGCGCTCTGCTAACTTGAATGGGGATGAAATAATTTCATCATGACTTACTAAATGTTATCAGACCAAATGGATTAAATCTTGATAGTGAAACAAGTCACTTTGCGAGTGCTGTGACTCAGAAAAATGTATCCACTGATTTACAGACGTCTCTTTCCCAATGTAAGTCAATGGGAAAAAGTCTTTTTACAGTACCACTGTTTGGCCACAGTAAAACTTGGCCTCAAAGCCCAGCACACTTTCTGAGCCTGCAAAATACATATTCACCTCTGGATTATTACATCTGAGGCTTTAGTGCACATGAGGGGTGTAAATCACAAGTTTCATCATGTTATGATTATTTTTGATTCTTTGAACAATACAGTATTTGCTGACATCATAAAGCCTGCCACAATACAAATACAATCGATTTAAATAAGCAGCCTGAGACTGATACGAGACAATATCAGTAAATCACTTTATTGTTTTCTCTGGGCCACTTATCATTGGCTACCTGGCGCTAGTGATGGCCAAATGAAGCCTTGTGAAGCTTTTTCTTTTTATTAGCCCACCTAGGTGGCTTTTTTTTTTTCTCAACAAAAGGTTAAAAGCACATTGAATTGCCATTCTTTGAGCCTCCCTGTTTTAACCAAGAGCGCCATCTAGTGGGCTCATAAAATAAAGAAAATGCTTCATGAGGCTTAATTTGGCCATCACTACCTGGCACTAAGCTGCTAGTGCTCTTTCAATATTTAGAAAGGAGTTGTACTTGCAGGGAAGTGGTAACACAGATGTGCCATAGGAAATTCAAAATAAAGGTGCATCTCGAAGATGATAATATGTATCAGTGTTTTTGGTGTGCATCGATAATACTGGATTGTTGATCACTGAATCGATATATGGATAAGATTAATGTATCATTACACCCCTCGTGGACACATGACTGATAGAGTAGAAATCCATGATAATCATTTGCTATAATAACTACATGTGCATCCGCAGACTAACTGACTGTTGTATTACTACACCATATAATGTTGCTGTTACATGCAAAGGGTTTACAGCAGATGGGATAACACATCAGTGATACTCCACTTGTTCGCCACAGAGGGACCAGATAATATCAGTTTGCCTTCATACTGTAATTAATGCACTTTATCTCAAAATGTTACATCACCACACAATCCCCCAGTGGAACAGAGTCCACATGTTTTTCCTTCTATTTCCCACTGTAATTAGCTGTTGTGAAGACCTCATTAAGAGCCAGGCTCTGTCTCTGCGGTCATTCATTTGCTGGTTGCTCTGCCTTGAACACTGGTGCCAGGAAGTACAGGAGAAATCACACAAGCAATTTTAAGCTGGTGTGCTGCACCTCCATGTGTGCTTGATCTTAAGGTCTGTAACCAGATTCTTCTCTTTCTGGATTTAAAAGTAAATGTGTTTTTTGAAGCTGGGATAGGCAAAAACAACAACAACAAAAATGCAGAATTTGAAAATACTCCCTCCTCCTGCAGCTCTCCCCTCTCTGTCCTAAGCCCCTCCCACCAGATGAGCAGGGGGATATACACAGGTTCATATAATAACCCTGTGTTTCCCATACATTCATTTTATTAATTATTTATTAGAATTTCATTGTAACATTGCCTACAGCACATTCACTCAGCCTCTCCTTGCTCCTCTCTCTCTCTGTTTATCAGACCACAAATGAGCCAAATTAGCAAACTAATGTTAGCCACCCCATGTTTCCTCCACCTCACTTTCCGCCACTGTGGACAGCTTCGTCGGGAAGAGAGCAGGCCGCAACTATGGAGATGGGACTTAAGTCGATAGCCAGCTCAAACCCTCAGCGGGCTAGTGGACAGCAGCAGTGCTGGGTCTATGTTGGCATAGATGAGATGCATCACGTAGGCGGAGCCACAAATGGTTGCTGCCAGCTTCTCTGCGTGTGTATTGAGTTTTGCCACGTGATAATGCAGTTTGTTATGCACGGTTTGGAAGCACAGGCTAGATTCATTTATAATTAACTCAATAATTGGATCATTTTAACAACAAGATGCATTGATTTGATTGATTTATTTTAATGTGAAATGTAAAACCACCCACAAGGCTGCTCTGCTGCTTCACATTGCTTCTGGTACAAGGTATTTAACACATCGTACTTATTGATAACACAGTTCTGTGTAGTTCATACCTGTTAGTAGTGATGGCCAAATGAAGCCTCATGAAGCATTATCTTTATTTTATAAGCCCACTAGATGGTGCTTTTTTTCAACAAAAGATCGAAAGCACATTGAATTGCCATTCTTTGAGCCTCCCCTTTTAAACTTAGAGCGCCATGCAGTGGGCTCATAAAATAAAGAAAATGCTTCATGAGGCTTCACTTGGCCATCACTACCTGTTAGAGGGTCACAGAGCCATACAAAGAAAAAAATAGACTAGGCGCATAAAAATAACGTCGAGCAGCACGTACCTGTGCAGGAAAGCATGGCTTCCATGGTCAGTGTAGCAGCTTGAGTTGATTATAATGGATGAGCTGTGGGCATGTGGCGGCAGTCGTGCCACGTGGGGATTGTGTATCCCATGCATTTTGGCTGTAACCTGTGTAACAACAGCAACAGAGAATTTGCTGATCTACCGGGGAGTTGGGGCTATCTGGTCCCCCGGAGCTTGGGATTGCGCTGGCTGGATTTTGCTTTCTGCAGCTGCTGACCAGATGTCCATCTCAACAGCGTTGCCTGCTTTCCTCCCGGTGAGGTGGTCTGTAGCAACGAGAAGTAAGACAGAGACCACAATGTTATTCAAAGCTCTAGCTAATGCAAAAGTCTTCCACCATGGGCTAGATTTTCTAGGGCCTGAAAACAGAGCCAAGAGGAGGTGCAGAAGTCTAGTTCTCTCTCAGTTTTCATGAATTAAATTATGCTCAAAGGTTGTTTGGGTTTTTTTGCCCAGTGATGCCAAATTCAAACTGCCTATCTCAACTGTCATTTCCTCAAACACTGATTTTGCTCTTTAAGTGTCCTGGAGAGGAAAAACATGTGGAATACGATGACCTTAACTATAGCACAGCTCTAATATTATGTCATGTTACCATGTATGGACTGATAATGCTGGGAGGGTGACATGTATTCATGTGAGCTCTTACACTAAAAAGGTGAGAGATACCCAAGGACATTTGAAATGAGTAAATGAGCCACAACAAACCAAAACATGGTTTCAGAGCAACAGGATGGCCAAGTGAGAGGGACGTCTCTTAAGAAGCAACATATTCTCTCATTATCTAAACATCACCTGTTAAAATGTACCTGTCTGAATAAATCCACCTCTTGGCTGCTGTTTACCCTACCCCGCCATCTAATCTTTGAACCATATATGACAAATGTTACTAGTAAAAACACGACATCCATCAGTGCATGTTTTTCATGATGATTTTACCAGCTGTTGTGTTAACCAAAGACTCCCTGTTGTCCATTTAAAGTGCTTTTGAATCACCACTTAAGTATCATTTTTTTCCATCTGGCCATGGTATATCTATAATTCTCTTCTTTTCAAGCAATGATCCCTGCAAGCCATTTACAAGGTGTTTGAGTAATTAACCCTCCTTTCTTATTCCCTCTACTACAACCTTCCTTTTCTTCTTCTATCTCCCTTAACTATTCTCTGAATCTTCATTCATCTGCTCTCTTCACCTCTATTTTTTATTCCATTCTCTCCTATTCTCTCTTACATTTATATCTTTCTCTTTGATCTCTTTTTATTTTTTCATTTTCCCTGTCACGTCTCTTCTTTTCCTTTTCCTTTTATGCTCCCTCCTCTTGCGTTTTCTCGTCTCTCTTTATTTTTCTGCTCACCCTCTCTGCCCACCCCCCCTCTCTTCAGTTGTCCATGGAGGACACTACTTCCATTCTGCCTCGTCTCAAGAGGAAGCCCGCCCAGACCTATGGGATCGGTGCCCTGGCTAAGTCCTCTCTGACAGGTGTGTCAGGTGTGTGTCTGTGCTGCTAGATGGTAAAACAGCCCCCATGTTGCCTCCAGGTGCTCCACAGAGGGTCGAGGGTGAAGTTGTTGTTGGGAACAGACGGGGATTAAACTTCCTTTTTCCCTGCTGTGTAAAAGATACTTTTTGGTTTCTTTCAGTGTGATATTCAGATGGTTACTTGGTGCCAGAGCTGTGCAGCAACCATATGATCAGTGTGTGGTTTGGTTTAACGGTAATAGCCAGACAGAATCAGCAACTCATTTTAACCAGAGCTGCCACAATATAAATGACAGTAAATGTGACATACTGTATAAACCAACTTAAAGACATCTCAACTATCTGATTGTGACTGAAATTAAAATCTGATTAGTGTTACCACTCATATAGCATTAGCTTAGCAATGTTCAGGTCTGTACGGCTGTGGCTAAACAACCAAACCAGTCATTTCACTTTGCAGAATGGAGTTTAACAATCAAACATACACAGTAATTTGGCCCAACTTTACCGCAAGGCAATGTAACAGCAACCAGCAATAAATTGTACTGTCATTTCAAGTATGTGAAAGTGCACATGCCTTATAGATTAATCAAATCTGTCCACACTCTATTAAATTCACTTTTTTCCTCTGCGACTTTGACTCTTTTTGATTTAAAATCTATTACTAGCTGAGCTAGGAAAACGAAGACAAGCCACTGCTATTGAGGTTTGGCGAAATTTAGTGGATAAGGTGCCAGACAGCAGACATATGATGTGCATTTCAGCCGAAGTTAAAACTTTTTTTAATGCAGTCTATAGGCTACTCATTTTTACCATTGGAGAATTTAAGTTTCTCCTTAGGCCTGCAACAACACTAAATAAAAATTAAAATCTAAAAAAAGAAAAAGCCTATTCATTTCCATTTGATTTTCTTTTTGTCAAAGCCACAGAAAGCCACTAGAGAGGGGCAGCAGAGCTGCATGTGGCTCTGGAGCAGCAGGTTGGCTAGGCACGGTCCAGTAGGAAGAAGAATTTGACACGTAAATTCCTTCGTCATAGTATTACAAAGTGCTGTGCAACGCTTCCGGTCTCGTAAGCCTTTGAACTCGTCAGTCTGTTTTTGAAACCGTCGCTCCTGGGTTGTATTTAATAGTGTAATCTGTACCCAACATGGTCACAACAAGAGAATCTTGCATGTCAACCCAGTCGCCAGGTGAAAATGTTGGCATCTTAGGTTTCTGCAAACCATGGATACGTTACATCTGTATGTTTCATAAATATCAGCGTCTCTAAGGTGACCCAGTATATGAGCTGACTTTGACTTTGGAGCCGATGGTGGATGCCATGGCACCTAGGTGAGATATGCCTGCTGAGCTGCAGACCAATCTTCAAGACCAACAAACCAGTTGTTTTTTAGCAAGTCAATGCAGCATTTCCAGTGAATTTTTAGCAACCAAACATGAGTGTTTTTTAGTGATCCACTGCTGTTTTTTTTTTTTTGTTTGTTTTCTTTTTTACTGGTGATAGTGCCAGCAGTATTTCTTGTTTTTTTTGCATCGCTGCAGGCATCCAGCTGGGTTTTGCCACCAAAATCGGATACTGTAAGCCAGAACATGACTGTTTCCTAACCATGACCAAGTGGTTTTTGTGCCTAAATCAGTTTCATCTATCCCCTACATAATAACATACAAATGCAATATATCTATAGTTTGCAGAAACTTACGATGCTTACATTTATTCTGGTGACTGGGTTGTGGCATTTTTCAATACCCTACATTTTTGGTCTGAAAACCCCCAATTTAGTAGCCTAAAAAACAATGTAACAAGTTAAAAGTAATACAACGATAACACAAGAAGCTTACTGCTTGCTGGGGGGAAAAAAAAAAAAAATCTGGACTATCTTACCATCCATGGTCCAAATAGTCATACTACAGTAGTTTACAGCTATCAAGACAAACTAACTAAGAAACCAATTATTAGATTGCTGATTTTACAACATCAGTAACGCCATGGTCACAGTTGAACATAAAGTCTTTATCTATGAGCATTTAGATTATATGTATCATTCAAGGTGGCCATTTAGGTAAGATTCTTTGGCTGCAGTGATTTTTTTGCTTATTTTATATTTTTATTACACAGTAGAAAGCTAACAGGAAATCAGGGCAGAGAGACAACAGAGAGGTCCTGGTCAGACTCTAACCATCAATGTTTCCATTTTATGCTTTATGCTTAAACCCCATTAGGGTGCCAAAGGCTCCACTTAGGTTTAATTTCTGTGTCCAGAGCAGCTCATCCTTTGAGATTTGTTTGTATGATTAAAGACTCCATTCTGCCTGTACTCTCAGTTGGTTTCTGCACTGCTCTCAGGTGGAAGAACCATCTGATGCACTTGGGAAAAAAACAGGAATTATCTTTTCACTTTTGCCATGAACGACACATTTCGTAATTAAAACCTCAACAGACAACTTCACTCTGGAGCAGGAGGAGAAGGAGGAGGAGGAGCTTGGAACCAACATGGCCGCCCCTGTGGGTGCCCCTTCCTATATCACTCTCTACTTTCCCTTCTTTTCCATTGATATCAACAGCAAACGTCAATGACAGACACATTTCGCGAAGTCATTGATGGAAATCCAATCAGATCTTTGATTTCAAAGAAACTAAAGTAAGTGAGATTACTTACTTTAATTAATGACTGAAGCATCTCCACAGGCGTGTTGGGACATGTAGTGTATCTGTAAAGTGGCAGTGCTGGTGCTGGTGCTGGTGGTGTGGCCGATATTTGTGAAATAGTGACTCCTTTGTGCCATGTCGTGACTTCAAGTGGCTGGTGCCTCTTGTGTGCTATCTTTGTGCTTTAAACTGTAGTGCTCTGTGCTTTAAATGTAGCACCTCAGAGTGTCTGTGTAAAGAGTGTTCTTTGTTGTGTCTGGTGCACTTTAAATAAATCTGTTGGTATAATTTAACAGTGTATAGAATTATTTTTTTGAGCCTTTGAATAGCCAAGACCCCAACACCCGCCCTCATCCTTCATCCCCATTCTTTCCACTCCTATTTCCTTTCCCAATTAGACTCTGCAGGGAGTGTTTGATTTTCAAATGAGATTGCCTCTCGTTGTCTTTGGGGGAAAACTGTTTCTATTTATAACTCCGCCTGTAACTTGCCCCATGGACCGGGGGAGCAATTTCCGAAGCTCTGTCTCTGTTTATTCATGCCTGTTTGGTTTTAATTTAATTTTTTATCGATCAGCCTCTCTGCAAGCATTTGACTCAGAGTATATGTCCCTAGTTTGAATCCTGTATTTGCATCTTAATTGGGCAGAGATTTGCCAGTGGACCCTTCTCCACATTGTGTTTACACCCATGGATTACTTTCCCCTGCCTCTTTCAGTCTCTGTAACACGTTTCTAATTACCCAAAGTCTAATGAATCTCATTTATTCTGTTTACCAGGAGATGAGTAATGGCTTTAATCATTAATATGGGTTTGTCAGCGTTTCGGCCGTCATCCTCGTCCCTTTCTGTCCAATTCAACAAACTCTAATGAGCACACAGGCAACCCTGTCCAATTTGTCACGATGGTCCGCTCTTGTCATCTGACCTGTGGCCTGTTCTGCAAAGGTCTTCATTATTACATTACAGATTCATCAGTTAATTCATTTGATTATTCAAGAATTACTCACCGGATCCTCAGTCATATAAATATCTGAATATTTCACACTTTTAGTTAATGAGATCCCAGAGAGGTTGATACGTTGAACTCAAAAAGGCATCTTTGTCTGAATGCCAAGTGGCCGGCAGCCAGTTCTTATCATAATTAATATTTTTACAAAATGTGTTGAGTTCCAGGAGAAAAACTCTCTAGAGTTTGAAAGCAGCAGTGGTTTAAAGGGACAGTTCACCCCAAAATCTAAAATGCATAATTTTCCTCTTACCTGTTGTGCTATTTATTGATCTAGACTGTTTTGGCACAGGTTGCTGAGTGTTGGAGATATCGGCCGTAGAGATGTCTACCTTCTCTCCAAAATAATGAAACTAGATGTCACTATGCTTGTGATGTTCAAAACACCAAAAAAAAACACCAAACAAAAAAAACCATCTACCTGGTTGAAGTTTTACGCTGATGAATCCCCAATTTACCCCTCCTGATAACTGGAGGAGAACTATAGTCTTGGATCTTGATCAGTACCTATGTCTGTTCCACAAGGTTTACAGATCCAGTGTTTAACCTCCCAAACTGCTCAGAGACTCATCAGGGCCACCCAAATAATTTCAAACGTGTTCCATATTTAAGTTTTAAATCTTAATGACCACAGTTATAATTACGTCAGTACGGAGCAGCTGATGGTGTTGCCAATCAACAGTAAGAAATCTTACCCTTAAAGCTAGCATACGACTGTTGACAGATACTAAAACTGACAGTTATAATCTTACCTGCATTTCTCACTGAAGAATAGACTGTATTGAAGTATTGACTGCAGTTTCTGAAGCATTATCTCATCCACTGAACTGTTAAACCTCCTGCTTGTCTCTGTTTTGTTAACATCTGCTTTCCTATGAGATCACAGGATGTGGTGCATTCATTCTCCCTCTAGCACGATAATTTCAATAATATCCTGTAGTGATTGATGCATCATTATTTTCAAATTTTGTAGTTTCTGCATTATTGAGATTTGTGGGAAGAACATCTGTGAAGGTTCTCCTTATGTTCATGATACAACACAATTTCAAAATCAGTTAGGATTTTAGAACTCCTGTAGTCTAAGCTTTACACAAGATAATCCACAAAATGTGTTGTGAGTAGTTTCATGTAGGAACTATTTTCTTTCTACCAAATGACTGCCACCACTGAGCTAGCTAACATTATAGCTCAGGAGAGGAGGACGCCATTAACGTTTACGCTCTGTCACAAGCACGAGCCTCTCATCCATATGTAGATGAACGTTTTCCTTCTGCATGGTGATACAGTTGGCAGGTGTAGTTCGGTAGAAACAAAGTGGTTTCTACATGAAACTGCTCACAACAAGGTCTGTGAATTAGCTTGAGTAAAACCAGGTCATGATTTGTAGCCCTGTCACCAGAAGAAAATTTTGGCATTGTAATTTTATGCAAATGACAAGCATAATTTGCACAGTTCTTACACATTATATTGTGACACCTAGGCGAGGCACCTGCCAAGTTCAGACCACTGTTTTGAAACCAACAAATAACAACAGTAGCCCTTTTTAGATAGGAATTGTGCAAATTTTCAGGAAAGCCCGATCAGTCTTCTTTCAGCATTGGCACTATAAACAAAATCGGGGAGTGCAGCAAAATGCCGCCTGCCTAGTTTTGTTCATACAGAATGCGTCTTTTTCTGGGCAATGGGGGGCGTGAGCAAGTAACAAAACGTGTAGCTCAGCGTGTGACGTAAACAGTGACGTGGGACGGAAGCCGCGGCTGGTCAGTCCTTCTGCGATTCTCTCGTAAGTCGGCCTGTTCCTCACCGTCCCCGTCATTTGACGGTTAATGGCGTCTTCGTTTGTGAGGGCAAGGAGGGCGCGCAATTCCTTGTCTCCCCAGTTGCTCATCTTTACAGTGTCTGTCAGGTTTGCGTTTCCCTCTTGCTACTAGTTGCTCGCTAATTCCTGCTATCAGCTGTTTCCTGTTTATCCACCGCCAGTGGTTTGCACATGCAGCGTCATCAACAGCTCCTCCCACAAGTCTTCAACAGTCCCTCCCGTTGCGGAAGGCCGCCTCAGTCTGTTTAAACTAAAAGTGTTCTGCCAATATGACTACCCTATGAGGCGGAAAATTGGGCACCTCGGATCAACTCGCCAGTCCGGCTTTTTTTTTTGTGCCTAAACCTAACGTCTCCTTCACTTTAGTGTCATGTAGAAATGTCAAGTGTCAACATATCTGCTACAATATAGTGTACAAATGTAATGTATCCATGGTTTGCAGAAATGTATAATGTGACCATACTGTCTGGTGATTGGGTAATTATTCCTGGAAACAGACATTGCTGAGTACCATCTTGTTCCATTACACTAGAGAGAAGGCAGTAATCTCTATTGTAGATATCTCCAACACTCTGCAACTCACACCAAAACAATAGCACTACAAGAAAGAGGAAAAATATGTATTTTTGATTTGGGACAAACCGTCCCTTTAAAGGTTCCACAGACAGATAAACTAAACTACTGCAGCTGGAGGGCTCATTCAGTGAGACAGAGGTTGTTCTGAGCAGATGTGAAAGCGTGAAAATGTAGCAGATTGTTGCTCAAAAAGACAAAATGTGCTCAGCGAATCCACCTTGAAGAATGATTTGTAAGAAGACATGAAATTTGAAAGTGTAAATCCATTACGATTTAGAGACTACTAAATGTATTTTAATACATTTTTAATACATTTTAATGCAAAGTAGCTGCAAGGTCGTTGCCATGTTCTCATCCCCAGTCACTCTGAAAACATTCATACCTGGCATTTATTACCCAACTGGCATTATTTATTATACTTTAACGTTTAACAGTTTCCCTACAACATAACACAGTTTCTCATTATCATTCTACCCCCCCCCCCCCGAGCCTCAGTTGGAGGTGTCATCAACTGCAGAAACCAGAAGTAGTTCTGACAGTGTTTGTGTGTGTGTCTGCTGTGTGTTGTGTGTGTGTGAATGTGCCCCTGCTGCTGCCCACATACCTGCTTTAGGTGTAACTCGCTCCATGAAGGACAAAGTGACCAAGCCCACCGCCATGGCCCAGGGTCGCGTTGCCCACATGATAGAGTGGCAGAGCTGGGGCAAACCATCCGCGGGGCCCATGGGGAGCGTGGGACACACCAACCTGCAGAGGGAAAAGGAGAGGAGGATGGAGAACGACGCTTACAGCGACCTCAGTGATGGCGAGAAGGAGGCTCGCTTTGCTGCAGGTGAGGGTCCATCTGAGTACTGCATGTCCAAGAGCTTAACTGTCGGAGAGGTATGAATACAACATATTAGAAAACAAGTCCTGCTCATGCTGAGTTTATCTGTGTTTTACACCAGTAATCTACATGGTTTGACATTTCAGATCGCTCAAATAATAATAAAAAAGTTGAAATGCTTTAATTTATCACAAGGAAGACTCTCCCTGGTGTCTTTTTCTTTATAATTAATGTTACTACCTGCTGGTAAACCATGTTTCTTCACTGAAGTTTGGGGAATCTAATTGGTTCTGTCCCATCTGGTACATCTAACAAAGTCAAATTAAAATGTTGTGATCATTTATACACATTTATTTGTCTGCAGCATTTACAGATTTCCCGCTTGGAACAAACACTCTGTATTCTCCTGCATTGCCTAATCCCTAATTAACTTCTGTCTGTGTTAGCAAAGCTGGGACAGGGATTTTTTTTATGCTCTGTATCTTTAATTGTGGTTCAGCAAAATAAAATTGCTAATATCAGTACTACTGCACCTCAGCTAAGGGTGTAAATCACTAGTTTCATGTTATCTATCTCTTTTGGCAGTGATACAAGGTTTGCCACAATATGATTTAAATTCCATTTAGTTCAATTCAGAGGCCTGCGAACAATATGAGACGATACCATCTGCCCATTTAATGCAGTGAGTTGCAGGAGAAGCTGGCATCCCTTTTTTTTCCTTTTAAAAGAAACAAAACAACACATTAGTAAATGGTAAAAACAAGTATAAAATTTAGCTTAATAATAACTGTCAAGGTTTGTAGACAAAACAACTGTTTTGCTAATTACCATTATTAGATTAAAGGTCTAGCATGTGGGATCTATGGTTTATTCATACTCCCTTTACATTAGAAAATAGCAGTGGCGGCTGCTGGTCTTTCAAACAGGGGAAGCTCACTTTAAATTTACATCATAAAATTTGTCATATTGTAGCGAGGCAGTAACTTATAAAAGGAACATTTAATTGAAGCAGTTTTTCAACCACACTCATGCCATAGAACCACAGCAAAACACACCTCAAAGATTTTCAGATGGGTTTAAACACCTGAACTGTGTACAAACGGTGAAAATGAGCTATATCGCTTATGGAAATAAGCAACTCCAGATGGCACTCTGTCAGAAGACTCCACTCGCAAATATCTGCAAGGGACTGAGCTCGAAATGTGAAGCACCGTCAATCACAAAGGGGTTCAGCCTTGTAGACAATTCCTCCAATCATCATGCATACACCGAGCGTCCTCTCACGCATACCGTTCCATTAGGACCCAGGGAAGCTGAGCCTCCCTGACAGTGACAATTTTGTCGCATTTATCCAATGACCGTCTCGCTTTGCTGCATGAAAAAAACCTGGTCAGTGCTGTCTCATAGGAATGCATGGAGGCTCCGTGTCCACCGTGCTGACACGAGAATGTATGACAGGGAGGTCGTGTTTGAAAACTGGTGATAAACAGCTGACGTTTGAACATCATAGTCATGATGTAAAACGCATCCTAGAGCAAGTTTAATGCAATGTAAATTCTTATTTTAATGTAAATTCAATAGTGCATATTTGACCATTTCTTCTACGAAATTTTAGGGGAAGTTCAGCCTCCCTTGTTGTCTCAGAGCAATCGCCCCTGGAAAATAGATATGTTTCTTTCAGACTATCACTGCTCACAAACTTCCATGTGTCCTTTATGTTGGCATTGATACGGCAGCGGTTGTCTATGAGGCTATTACATACATTGCAACACGTGAACAAATTCTTTTCTCTATATATTAGCAATTTGTTTGGATTCACCATTTTTAAAATGTCTTTGTCCTGTCGCATGGTTGTATCTCACTTGCACTAAGCTACGCTGCCCCCACAATCTCCAGTGGTACTGCTCTGTTATGTAGGAATCCGCAAGCTTTCAGAAAATGTGCACTAATATGAACAAAATATACACAGATTATGGACAGAGGGCTCCATCCGTGTTGGTATGCTTAACTAACGTTTAGTATAAATGAGCCGTTAATGGCTCTAGCAGTGATGTTGCAGGTAGTGATGGCCAAATGAAGCCTCATGAAGCATTTTCTTTACTTTATAAGCCCACTAGATGGCGTTTTTTTCAACAAAAGGTTGAAAGCACATTGAATTGCCATTCTTTGAGGCTCCCTTTTTAAACCAAGAACGCCATCTAGTGGGCTCATAAAATAAAGAAAATGCTTCATGAGGCTTCATTTGGCCATCACTAGTTGCAGGTTGCAACCAACTGTAACTTCTCCTGTGTGCCAAGCATGTAGGAGAACCACAGTGGCTAACAAGAGCACGCACAAGGCCTTATCTAGAGCCAGTGTTTGATTTGTTCAGTCTGGGCTGCTGCAGAAACAACATAGTGGATTCAATGGAAGAGGACCCACACTGTAGGTGGATAAAAACAGCTCACTCTACGATAAGGAAAACACGCTGATTCTTGGTTTCAGATGATTATACACTAATGAAAACATAGTTATGAATATTATATTCCAGTTCTGCCAATATGTCGCCCTAAACCAGTCACATTGGACTTTTGCATTGCATTAGTTAGCTAGCGGCAGCTGGCTTTTTCTCTATTCATAGCTTAACAAGTGACATGTATTATTTATACATGTTTTTTACTAAGTGCCGGTTAAAGTCACTGCATCTTCCAACAGAATAGCACAGTTAAAGTTCAGAGTGCATGCATGTTTTTCAGCCGAACATTGTTGTAACAGAGCAGCTAATATTACCATAATGTGACCAACAATTTAGCAGAGTGAGAAGCCCGGCCAGGTTCATCCTGTTTCCAGAATATTGAATATTATGACAGCATTGTTAGCAGGTGGCATGTGCTTTGTCTGTTAAACCATCTTTTCTCCTATCTATTTGCAAGAGAGGAGTAAATATCCTTATTGTCTTTTTCTTGGCGGCTTGTCATTATCTGCCAGACGCTTTTTGGTAGTGACACAGATGTTCCATGGGAATTAATAAAATGAAGATTCATGATGGTGTAGATCAATGTTTTCACTTTGAATTGATTATATTGGATCGTAGGTCACTGAATCGATGAAATTGTTACCAGCCTCAGCCAGCACTGACACTACTCTAACTTCCTCCTCAGGCATCATGCAGCAGTTTGCGATATCTGAGGCGACTTTGTTCGGCTGGAACTCGATGGATGGGGAGAGTATGGGAGCTGGCTCCAACCAGGGCAGCGTCGCTCACCTCAGTGAGGTCAACCAGGAGAGCATCACCAGCAGAGGTACTGCAGTTTAATCCTTTCTGCAAATAGCTACTACATGACTACAAGAGTCGAAGGCACTAGAACTGTCATAAAGCTACACTTAGAGGTTTAAAATAAGAAGGAGGATTTGTGTAGTTGTACTCATTAAACACACTGAAGCCTAACTACAGATACTGTGATCTCACTGTGGACTTCAAATGTTCCCAAGTGTAACAGCTCTAAACACTTCCCACTCACTCTTTGACCACACAGTAAAATATTAGGTTTTGCACTGTGCATAGATGGACAGTTTGGGAAAATTAGAGCCCAGTTGGAAACTAAAAACAGCCAAGTCAGTTATTCTGCCGACCAGCTGTAAAGGACTTTTGGAGGGCAGGCACACAGCTGCACATTTCTGCCTTTCACTGCTACCGGGCACTTACTCAAAAACTTTCAAATGACGAATCCAGATGACAGCCTGTCATTTCTGAAATATCAGAACACACTCTGATGGAGAGCCTCGGTCAGAGAATTCAGCCAAAATCTGGAAGACGAGCTGTATTCAAATGAGGAAATGAACGGCACGAAAAGCAGAGTTATGAAATTTACACTTGGTTGAATAAAACAAAAACAGTTTGGGGAAACAAACTCATATCCTGATTTGTGGTTTGAGCCTCAGGTGGTAAGATGTCTGTTCAGTTTAGTTGCACAGAGGATGATAAAATACAAAGAAAGGAAGGGAAGAGAGCAAATTGCTCAGGCAAGATTAGGAAACCCTGTCTGACCTCACAGGAACAGCCAAATAACTTCATACAAACCTAAACAAAACAATTCTGTAGCTAAGTCTCTTTTTTCTGGTTGTCTAAAATAAAACAGAAGCCATTTGAAACCTGGACTTGTGTGTTCACTTCACAGAGTGACAACACTGTGAACTGCTTCTTTTTTAGTTCTTGCTGCTGTTAAGCAAAGCAGAGCGCTGTCCAAACCCTGAGGGAGCCTGTAGGTTAGCACAAGGACTTAGCCCTGCTCTCATTAACAACACCATATGGGCTCTGCTCTGTGCTTTATCTAGCATGCAAAACCAACACACATGTACAGTACACACACACACCCACACCCACAAACCCACACACAGAGCGACGATTAAAACGCTTCTTGATATCAGCATTAGGACTGAGGGGATGTTTCTCCTCCACAGTGTGTGGAGTTGGTGTTCTTTATAATAACAACACTGCTGCAGATCAGCTATTCATACTCTTATTAAAGTTATTACAGTTTGTTGCTTCGGGATGAGGTCAAGTTTATCTCTGTGTTTGGTTCAGAAGAGCATCTTAACTACACTGCTAATGACTAAATGAACAGCTCGAGGTCTGAGGGCAGATTTAAAGGGGCAATAAGCGAAATCGTTTCACCGCTAGGTTTGCTGTTGTGCACTGCCTGTAGAGCAAAACAAAGTGTGTCATGAGCCACTCCTCCCTCTGCCTCTGCTCTCCAACACCACGCCGGGCTACATTTTACAATGTTAATTGCAAATGTTAGCTGGGCACAACCGAAACGCTTGACCCATTGCTGGGACAGAGCCGCTAATAACTCAAGCTCCCGACATTAGCCCATGCTACCATTGTAACATTAAATTTAATTGAATCGACATAGCGACATGTGCCTAACGTTACTGTAACACTAATTAAAACAGACATTTGACTTTATGTTGTACCTGTCCAGGAGAAGAAGAGCTAGCTCCGAGTCAAATTGTAGCCCCTTTAGCTCTTGCAGTGCTCTCCACCTTGGAAATGCAAGGCCAGTGTTAATCCGAGTTCTGTCCCTTTTCTTCTTCGCCAACAGCCATTGTTTCTTTAGCGGTAATGTCAGATCCTGGTCGTCTTCAGGTGGATGTTCTGCTCTCTGCCATTTAATTTCGAAAATATGCGCTTCGTATTTTAAAACGCACCAACTATCTTAAAATTAAGAAAGATTAAATTTAAACCTCTCATTAAAGGTCCAATGTGTAGGATTCAAGGCTATACATTACAAAACAGACCTGACCAACCAAATTCAAGATGGTTCAGAGCCAGGGACAAGAGATCCTAGCTGAAATCTCTGACAGAGCCGGTTTTTGAAATTAAACTTAAATGTTGTCAAAGAGCACTTTTTGGTGGCAAGGAGTAGCAGGAGTGATATAGGCCATCACGGCCTGGACCCTTGGCCGTATAGCTTAGGCAGCTATACAAATGTTAACGATAATGACTGTGTATGCAGTGCTCTTAGATGCAATGTATTGAGCCTGTTTTTATTTTATGTTACTGTATTTTATTATCACTATCATTGTCAATTTCTATTTCCATTTTTAATTGACTGTTTTTATTGTTTTAAATTGTGTCTTGTTGCTTTTAATGTCTCTGTAAAGCACTTTGAATTACCTTGTGTTGAATTGTGCTATACAAATAAACTTGCCTTGCCTTGCCTTTCCTTGCCTATATAGGCAGAAATGGAATATAACATAATAAGATCTTTCCTTTAATGTATAATCACCTGAAAATAAGTGTTGTTGCCATGTTGCATCTCTATGCTTCTACAGTAGTCCAGAATGGACAAACCAAACACTGGCTCAAGATGGGGCCACTCCTGTTTCATGTTGGCCACAATAGTTAGCCTCAACAAGAGTGTCGGAAAAACACATGAAACGGCTTCATTCCGTGTTTTTACCGATTTAAATCACCTGGTCTGTTTGTTTTGGAGAAGAAGAGACCTCTGCAGATAATTTGTCTCCTGGTAAAAACCTCCTGAATGTCTGGATCTTAAGCTTTCAGAAAAAAAGGTGAGCACACATTAGCAGCTGGCGGGCCGTCTCTTACTGGTCCAACAGTATTGGACAAACACTAATTTTCTTTATTTACTGTCTTACTGTCAACCCAACTGAGTTCTTTCATGCTGCTGGATTTCTCTTAGATATTAGTTCAGCAAGGAAACTGTAATGGAGCTGAAAGGAAAGATTGGAACAATTATAAAACATGACAGTAAAAGAAAGAAAAGTGTCTGCATACCACTGCCAGACAGTATCTTTTTGCCTGTGCTGTTGTCCATTTTTTCTCTTCTATTTTCTGACTATAGTGCTCGATTAATTTAACAAACTGGCTTTTCTCAAAAGAGGAGAAATCAGAGCTTATCTTTTGAGGCATCATGAGTATCGTTGGGCTTACCAATACCCCTTTTCCCACATCCTAGCTCTGGTTCTGGTTAGCTTCGGTTCTGTTCAGGATTCTTGGAACCTTGGTGCTATCCGGTAAACCACTTTCTCACTTGATATCTCCATTGTTGCATTCTCCACCCCTTCTTTCCAACCTGTAGAATATACAACGCCCACTCATGTCGTCATGTCACACTTTAGGTCAAGGAAAACCTGTCATTTTTTGGTTCCAGCAGAGAACCAACTTTTCAGGTTCTGAACCAGTTTGTATTTGGTCAAAATGCTCTGAACGGTTTAAAATTAGATGCGTAAACCAGAACAGAACCAGTGCCATGTTGGTGGAAAAAAAACAACATTTTAGCTAGCTAGCAAACACAATAAAGTTTCATAAAGGAATACAGAGCAGCCTAATGTTGACAGCTCATTTCCTCTTTTACAGCCTACTTACTAGGTCCTGATATTGTGCAATTAATTTTTTCATTTTATTTTAATTTGGGTAAGCGAGCACCTCCATATTGATCAAACTCAAATCAAATTTTAAATTGGTTTACATCCATAAACTTGCATTTACTAAACAGAGATTGGTTTTTAATTGTGCAACAGAGTTTTGTTTAATTTTCAATGTGGATTTTCTCACTTTAAACTTAGTTTTGCTAAACTCTCATTAGATCTACATTTGATTGAATTAATTAAGTTTTTTGTTATCTAATGTCATTTATTTAGCCTAGAAATCCAGACCCTAAATCTAGAAAGATTTAGGGTCTGGCCATGAGTAATGAAAATGGCTCAACTGGAGGGGCGGCACCAAGCATGCATTTGTAAATATCACTGCATGCAATTGGATAACACTACGACCAATCAGAATAATACACGGGGTGACTTAGCTACCAGCGGAGCTAACTGGTAGATTAGACTCTTGCCGTATCCGGTCGGCAAAACAGCAAAAACGTCCTTCTTGCAAAGAAAAGAATATCTTAAGAGCGCCGTCTTCTGTTCCTCTTTTAGAGAAAAAGCCAAGTCTAACTCGTTCATTGTAGTGGCCAATGACGTTTCAAACAACTGGTGTTCATCCGTAGCCATCTTGCAATGTTTACTGACTGATTCCGGACTTCGCTGTCGCAGCGTTGTTGTCATCTGTTTAGCTTGCCTCTGGCCCGCCTATATCAGATACACCAATGTGATTGGTGCAGCTCGGTTTCATGGGCATCGATAATGAGCATCATTACTGAATGCCAGAGTGACTCGCTGAGCAAATTCAAATTGTGCTCTTGTGAGAACTCAGAATTTCCAGGGTAACATTTATTATCTAAAAACTAAAAACATGCCCATTTTGAATTCTTGATTTTGACTGAACAAGAAGAACATTAATGAAAAGTTTTTAAATTGAATCTAATAGTGAGCAGGGACATCTTTGAAATTCCTCTGCAGAATGTTATTGTGGAGAACTTCTTTTTGGTTTAAAGGTGGACTCTGTGATTGTGATCCAATACACGTTTGTCAAAGTCAGCGAATATATTCTCCTCACAGTCTGCAAGATGCAAAACACTATAGCAAAAGGGAATGTTGGTGCTTGTCCACGGGACAGGGGAAATACCGTGGGAAAGCAGAAGGCAGCTGGCAGCAAGAGGAATAGTAAATCTGGAAGCAGTAGTGCTGAAATTCCCAGTGCATTATCAAGGAGAGATGGCCAAGAAACAGCTACAGAGGAGAGGGTCAGAGAGACAAAAAAAGTGCAGTCTCCTTTGTCTCACTTCCCCCACCTGTCTGTGTTTTCCCATACAGACCAAGTGCTCCACCACTCCTCGGCGGATGTCTGGCCTCACACCTATGTCTCACAGGGCCTGTACTGCCTGTCATCTTCTGACGCCTGGGACCCAATCACCAGCCAGCCCTCGGGCATGGCCTCTCCTGCTGCAGGCTCCTATATCATGGCTCCAGGTGGGGACTGAATCTCTTCTCTTACTCTGCCTCTAAACACCAGACTGTCTCTCTGAGTGCTAAGTGTTTTCTCGTTGCTCCAGGTGGCAGCAGTGGAGCAGGGGGAACACCTGGTGAGTGCTTCGAGGGGACGGTAGGAGGTTACCTTCAGCAGCACCACGCTCATCTCGCCCTGCAGCAGCAGAGCCAACTCCAACAGCTCCAACAACTTCACCAGTACCAGCAGCAACAGCTTCTGCAGTACCAACAACAACAACAACAGGTAGGTGGTACTACGACTGTTCATTTATTCAGTGTGTTACTAACAACTCTGGCACTAACAACAAGCAAGATGAGGTCTAACAACAACAGCTGGGAATCTAAATCTGACCAAACAGCTACTTGAGAGGCAGCATATCAGTAGTGCTAAAATACTAGCACTGCATACATATATACAATAAAGATCATTAACTTAAGAAACAGATTAATAGTACTGCTACTGGACTGTATCCATAGAAAGTTTCAGTAATAGCTCGAGCACCGACTGTGTCTCAAATTTTGTTTACAAAGGTAATTTTTATCAAATAATACGTCATCGTGGGTTTTTTAATTGGGTTTTTGGTTAGATGCCTGAAATAAGGTTTGTGGTTAACAAAAGCTTTAAGTCCAGGTAAAGCTATATCAGTGATGTATTTTTAAACAAATTACACATGTCAAATACTATAATAAAAAGATTGCAAACTATACAGTACTGCATTGTGGAGTTGGGCCATTAAACTCTTTCACCATTTTTGTGTCCATGATTTTTCAGGCAGGCTAAAAATCATGGCTCACTGACGCAGTGGAGCCATTCTTATCGTAAACCCCTCCCCCACCATGTCCACCTAAGATCCTGTGTCCTCATATGAGGACATTACATTTTGGGTTAACTGGACCTTAAACTTCATATAGCTAGCAACAGCTAAATACACTAATCCATGTAAAAACAAGATGGCAGCCATCTTTGCTAAGTCAGTCTGCAGCCAACCCCGACACAAAAGTGGACAAGATACAAAACCTGATCACATTTAATGGTTGAAATTTGTGATAAATAATGTTTGTAGTTTGATATGCCATTGATATGCAATTTGACCAATTTTAGCAATGATAACAAGCTAAGACACTATTAATTAGAAAGTAGTCATTTGAAGACATTGGGACTTTATTATCATGGACTTTATTATTGTTGACAATATTTAGTTTTTCATACTCATCAGGTCCTACTGATCCCAAATAGCTAGGAGAAATTAAAAAAGCATACCAAACAAAAGTTTGGGTCTCACAAGGATGTAAAAACTTCAGTACTACTAACATTAGAGCATAGAGCGTCAGTCTCATCTTATTCATCCTCATAAAAAGGCGGTTGCTAAAAAGTGGCTAAATGAAACTACAAAGCATCATCATCATTAGCAGAGCTTCACAGTGTTGTTGTTGTTGTGGTGGCATTGAGCTTATGTAACCGTGGTGTTGTTTGTATACAGCCTAACGTGAGCTTTTTACTTCTGGTAATTGCATTTACAATTCAAAAATCACAAAGTGGTGTTCATTTGTGAAGATAATGTTGCTGAGCAAAATATGAAAGTATCATAAACTTGTGTTTGCCACAGAACTTATTTTTGGCAATAATCCAAAATCCAATGGAAAAATCCCATTGGCTTTTTGTTTAGGGAACCATAGCGATGTTAGTAACTATAGGGTTGTCCTACAAAAAAAAAAAACATTGCCTCTGCATCACTCTATCCCCATCAGTGTCAGCTGTGCTTCTATTGGTGCTAATAAGCAAAGTTTAGCATGCTGACATGCTAAACCAAGATGGTAAACATAATAATCATTATGTTCGCATTTAGCTGAAGGCACAGATTTGCTTTTAAGCTTCTTCAATAATGGAAACAACAATACAGTGAGCGATCTCTCAGGTTAAAAAGCCTTGTCATGCCAAAATGTCAAAAATGATGTGAGCAGCTCTGCAGAGCAGCTTATTAAATCTGATTGAAAGTATGTAAAATGTAAATTGTCTATGTTTTTTTTTTTTTTTTACTGTTTTTCTTAAGAAAAATAACTGTCAACAACTTTGATAATCAATTAATAATTTAAGCAAATTTTCAAGCAAAAATGATCAAGCATGTACTGGTTCCAGTTTCTTAAATATGAGAATTTGCTGCTTTGTGTTGTTATTTGTGATAGCAACCAAAGAGTCTTTGGGTTTTGTTGGTTAAATAAAAGAAGAAGAAAAAAAGATGTCACTTTGGGTTCTGGGAAATTGTGATGAGCACATTTCACAATTTTTGGACATTTTATAAACTAAATGATTACTTGATTAGTCAGAAGAAATATAGAGCCTGGGCTTTTTTGAGGTGCGTTCACCTGTTGCTTTTTTCATTGTGGAAAGAACACAGCAGGCATGTTTTACTGCAAGAGCCAAGTCTTTGTCAAAGCGTGTCATTTTCAGTGTGTAGGTTGTTAACTTGGAGGATGTTGTTGTTTCCCGTAGAGATGGGGATTTTGAAAATTGTAACTCACAGGGAGGGGAAGGCAAGGAGAATGCCAGGTTGAATAGCCAGCTAATGGCAGGTTTATAGCCACAGTCTACACCCAGTGAGTGGGACTACTCAGAAACCAATTTATGATTAAGGTTTTTATGGTTATGTTAAAGAAACTTAAAGCGAGGTGAGGTTAGGGGCAACATCCTGGTCTAACATATAAAGCAGTTCTCAGGACACAGAGTTGCCAGCTCTTTTGTCTCTGTTGTTGGCACCAGTACTAACATGCTGCAACTGGTGGAAACAATAAAAAGTCACGTTTCAATGACAGGCCTCACCTCCTGTAATCTGGCTCCACGTTGGGTCTGTGTGGCTTTTATTGGTGTAAATCAGCCGCCAACTTCCAGCTCTCAGGCTGCTGGGAGGTTTTCTGCAAATGTAGTGAGTCATGATGAACTGTGACACACAAAGACTTTTTCGGCTTTGCTGGCTGCTCTCGCATTGGTACATCTCAGAGCTCATTAAGTGACTGAGGGTTATGAAATAATAACTTGAAAAGGTCAGAGACTGTGTCTCAGAAAAGGTGTACTGATCCGAAACCACAATAGAAATGAGCTTGTTAGCTTTACTGTGTGTATTATATGGCTTCCCTTCTGAAGGAGACTATTGAATAGATTACATTACATTTATAATAAAGCTTTTCAATCAGTCAGTCAATTTTCTGAGCATGAGTGCCAGAGACATCTCCCCACTGTTCCCTACAGCATCATCTCTGACTCATATTTAAAAGGGTTTTCAGAGGAGATGCAGACCATAATCAGTGACGGGAAGGAAGTGAAAAAAAACTAGCAAAATATCCCTCCATAGAATCTCCTGTAAAGACTGCTAAATACTACAAGAATATAACTGCTATGTCATTTGTTTTGGCATGATGAAGCTTTTCCAACCTCCCTAGCTGAAATGTGTTGTGATGCAGTGTCTGACTGAGGCATTGTTGTCCATTACACCGAAGAAGCTGAAAATGTCAGGAGCTGTGGGGCTGTGGTGTGTTCAAATCTCTTGTGGGTGATGATATTTTTATTCCATGGAAAAACAAAAGATTTAAAATCAAGAGATGTGGCCACTGGCCAAAGAACTGTTGAGTCATTGTTTTGAATCAACACCCAAATCAGCCCCTTGAAAATATATTAAAGGAAAACTTCACCCACAACATGATCCTTTGTGTATCAATTACTCATTCCATGTTATGTTGAATTTGTGATGAATACTTTATTTTTCCTGCATGCCTCCACGGTGAACACAGAATCCCCAAAAGGAGAGCATTTTAAATGAATTGAAGTAATAGGGGTCCATGTTTACCAACAGTAAAACTATATCAAAACATCGTTAAACTCTCACACAACTTGTGCAATATAATCCAAGACTCATTTATTCAGTCATATGCTCAGTGCATCCCAAACAGACGAACAGGAAACTGAACTAAAAGTGTAACTTATCTATGCTGTCTTTAAAGCCAGACTCCACTGACAAAAACAAGAATTTTACCTTGCGGAACACAGCAGCAACAATAATAATAATAATGATAATAATAATAATAATAATTATTCTCCTTTTCTGGATTCTTTTTTTTTCACCGTGGAGGCATGTGAGAAAAGCAAAGTTTTCCTCACAAATTTCAAGTAACACGGGGCAAGTAAATGATAAACAGATGATCATTTGAGGGGTGAAGTATTCCTGTAAGCTTATTTTACTGTAAATCCTCATTAATTCTCTGTCCTTCCTTTCCTATCTCTGACTACAGTCTATGGAGCAAAGGCTACATAGTGCCTCCCCTTCCCTCCAAGCCACTCCCAACAGCACCATCCACAGTCTCGGCCCTCCCACCCACCCTCGGCTAGCTGACCTGTGGGGAGCTGCGCAGGTTGAGCCACACCACGTAGGCGCTCCCCTGCTGAATCCAAATGGTCGGATTACAGACTTTGCGGACTAGACGGTGTTTTAATATATTCTGACGGAGTTTTACAAGGGCACAGGGGTGTGTGACTGTATATACAGCTACAGACAAACAGGACAGGCACCTCCATTTAGTTATTGTTACAGAGTGAGTGAGACTACAATCATCATAACAATGACAGCATGTCTTATGCCTTAAATCATTTTTTCTTATTATAAGAAGCCAAGGTTTTTCTTCTTTGGTCTCATTTCTCAAGCCCGTGTCTTCAGAGGTGACAATACTGCAATAATCATCGTAATATCAACTTAATGTTAATGTTCTGCACAGGAATAGCCTTTTTTCCATCATGTTTGACACTCATCTTGGCTAATTTGTTTTGGCTTTGTTTATATCAGCAGGCATATTTAGCACACATCTGTAGTGCAGTGAATGATGGGAGAAACTGCCAGGCAAGTCGGCAAGGTAGGAGACAGGCTGAATGTCTGCATGGAGCACTGCCAAAAGTCTGCATGACAGCCTTTAGCGGACCTGATGAATTTTGACAAAGGACAATCTGCCTGGTCTTCAGAGTAGCATGCTGTGAAGTCCGCAAGTTCACAACTCTAGGCATTTGGATTCAGCATCTGTGTGTTGTACATACCTAAGTATCTGTCTTGTCTCTGATGTCCTGCATAGGGAAATCAAGCTGGGGTCAGGACATGGGAAATCACTCTCTGCTTTTCCACCTTCCCTCTTTCCTTCCCTCCTTCCTTCCTTTCTTTCTTCCTTCCTGTCTCTTTCTTTCTTTCTTTCTTTCTTTCTTTCTTTCTTTCTTTCTTTCTGTGACTGTTACCAGGAACTGAAATTGAAGGGTTGATGTAAGTCTGTGATCTAACAAATCTAACTAAAGACAATTACTTAAATCAGTAAACGTAACTGATTGCAGGTGGAGATTGTTGGGCAGCTGAGCGGACAAATGGCTGATATGGTCGGAGGAGTTGTGGAGACAGTCGGGGAGGAGTCGGAGTCTGGAGGCATCCCTGAGCAGCATGAGGAGGAGGAGGAGGAGCTGACAAAGGTGAGTTTTTTTAACTGAAGCAGTTCGAATCTCTTTGGTTGTGGTTTCTGCCACAATCCCAGAGTCCTAAAAACTGATGCGTCAATGAGATTGGATAAAGGGCGTTTTCTAGTGATGGCCAAATGAAGCCTCATGAAGCATTTTCTTTATTTTATAAGTTCACTAGATGGCACTCTTGGTTTAAAGAGAGAGACTTAAAGAATGGCAAGTCAGTGTGCTTTCAACTTTTTGTTGAAGAAATAGCGCCATCTAGTGGGCTCATAAAATGAAGAAAATCTTCATGAGGCTTCATTTGGCCATCATTAGCGTTTTCACACGTTTGCTTGTGTCATAATTAGGGACCAAACTGTTATGATGTCGCATTTTGCCTTGAGTTTGGTTTGTGTTCACTTGGCAGCATTTATAAGCATACCATAATTTGCCACGCGCGAAAAGACTGCTCTCTAATTGGTCAGAATATCAATGCAGGAAAACTCACGGAAGTAATCAAAGAGTAAAAGAAGAACAAACTCCTGCACTGCTCCAGAAACAACTTAATGCACCACTTTCCTATTTAACATCACAGGGACACATTGCAGGTGGATCTTGGCCCTGGGTATCGTTTATTACATCCTGTGTAACATCATTTCAGGCAAACAGTTTAAAAATAAGGCATAGCTGCGGCTGAGGCTGTTAAATAATGTGTTGATGCACTGGAGTCTCTGAAGGCAGATATCAAGACAGTTCATGATGAGGCTTGTATTAATCGTCCTGAACTGTGACATGCTCATCAGCCAAAATTATTTCCAAAGACGCATCAGGTATGCTCGCCTTCAACACAGCCTACACCTGTTTAGCACTGATGTGAATAGAGGGCAAGCGGAGGCTCTTTTGTAGCTGAAGCACAGACACAAGCACAACGCAGCTGACTATGGGAGCTGGTTTATCCAAAAAAGGGGCAGTGCTTCCTCTGGTTGGGTGGGATTGAGGTCAGATTATGTTCTCGCCACATATGGACTGCAACAAACACTACTAGTTGATCTGTAACCAGACCAAGTGCACTTGGTGAGTTTACACCTGAGTTCATGTTGACTAATGGCCATATTTTTGCAGAACATTATGATGTCACAACAAAGGTGGTGCAATGGCTAGCATTGTTGCCTCAGCAAGAGGGTTCCAGGTTTGAACCCAGGTTGGGAAAGCCCTTCTGTGTGGAGTTTGCATGTTCTCCCCGTGTCAGCATGGGTTTTCTCTGGGTACTCCGGCTTCCTCCCACAGTCCAAAGACGCAGGTTAACTGGTGAATCTAGATTGCCCGTAGGTGTGAATGTGAGTGTGAATGGTTGTGTGCCTCTATGTGTCAGCCCTGCGATGGTCTGTCAGCTTGTCCAGGGTGTACCCTGCCTCTCACCCAATGTCAGCTGGGATAGGCTCCTGCACCCCCGCGACCCCTCACATGGATAATGGGTTACGGACAACAAATGAATGAATGAATAGTGTATGAACTCTTGAGTTATGGCCAGAAACATGTTTTGTGAGGTCACAGTAACCTTGACCTTTGACCACCCAAATCAAATCAGTCCACTGTTCAGTCCAAGTGGATGTTTGTGCCAAATTTGACAAAATTCCCTTAAGGTTTTCATGAGATATCACATTCACAGTAATGATACAGATGCAGGGTTACAGCAACCTTGACTTTTGACCACCAAAATCTGATCAGTTCATCCTTGACTCCAAATGAACATTTGTCCCAAATTTGACAAAACTTCCTCACAGTTTTCTTGAGATACTGCGTTCATGAGAATGTGACAAACGTAAGTTCACAGTGGAATTTACTTTTGACCATCAAAATCTATGCAGTTCAGTTTTTAAATCCAAGTGGACATTTGTCCCAAATTTGAAGAAATACCCTTGATATATTAATTTTTTTATTGACCACCAAAACCTATGCAGTCCATTGTTGAGGTGGATGTTTATGTCAGAGTTGAGGCATTCTTGAGATATTGTGTTCATGTGAATGGGAGGGACAGATGGATGGACCATCTGAAAACATAATGCCTCCGGCCATGGTTATCACTGGCACAGAGGCATAAAAATAACAAAGTCAGATGATATATGTGAAGAAACACTTGGCCTAATAAAAAGAACAGAGCCGTACTCGCCTCTGACACAACACAACTGTAGCATTTCAAACTGTCTTTTAAATGCTTCACTTCCTCTCTTTACAGATAGAAGAGGTAACATTAACCTTGGAGCCGGAGCCGTGCTCTTTGACCCCGTCCCCACTGAGGGAGGAGGGCCCCTCGACCAGAGGCTCAAGCCCCGGACTGCCATCACAGACTGCCGAGCCTGCCGCGGAGAGGATACCGTTTGACGTCACGCCCTGCGTCGTCCAATCACTAGAGGAGAAGGATGAAGAGGCGGACGAGGGCTCCGTTGTTATCGTTGCGACCAACTGAATTATAAAACTGACAAAAACAGGAAATAAATACTTCAATAATCAATCAAGCTATTCTATCCCAACCCCAACCCCCTCCCAACTATTTACCAACTTTGAGTGTGAGGAAACACAAGAAGACTTTTTCAGATGAAAACGTGGGATGTAATGTACACAAACTAAATGCCAAGAAGCCCCCAAAGTAACTGCGGGATCTGTGGAATATTATGTATGTGACAATGAAAATTAAAAGTAGACAAGAGACTTGAATTCAGTGACTGCTGAAACAAGCTGTGTGAAGATCAGATGGGTTCACAACAAGTTTGGACCAATCGGACCAAAGAACCAGGACTGAGAGCCGAACAGTAGGATGGATGTAAAATCCTCAAATGAAAAAAAAAGAAAAAGGTAGGACATGAGGAGGAGAGAAAGGGCCTAGTTAAAAATCAGTATCAGCGCAATACAACAAACATGGACACAACAAGGTCAAACAGTATCTGCAAATAACTCTGAGCAGTTGGTTCAGGTGTAGCGTGTCACATCGGAAAAAACCCTGTGAACCAGAAACTTCACCTGGTCACAGAGTTTGACTTGCTGAGTGATGTATTTGGCTTTGATTGACAGCTTGTCTGAGCCCAAGTTGAGACGTTCTGATGAGGTAAATACATAGTGACCTGTGGCACACACTTGGAGTTATTTGCAAACATATTATCTGGACACAACCAAAAGAAAGTGCATGCTTTTTAACAGTGACCTAGCCCTAACAGTATAACACAGTATACAAAGTAATAATATATCAAATTGCTTTTTCTAAAAAATGAAAAAAAAATCCAATAAACTGATATGTATTTGTATGAATGTAAGACTGTATGTATGTATAGTATGTATGTATGTATGAATGTAGCTTTGTTTGTGTGTAAAATATATTTATTCTGGGAAACAGATTGTTCTTGGTGCTGTTTTGTTCTACCATGTGTTGCAAGAGCACCCACACATACACACAAACAGTTATACTTCTAGTGTTGCGATTACCTTCACAAAGGTAGTGTATTGCCTAACATACCTAACTAAACCCTAATGGTAGATTTAACCTAAACATAAGCTAAGCTTAACCCCAAAACCAAGTTTTAACTGGTGACTGGTGTTGTTCAACCTGGACCTTATTACTAGGGGTGGAGGAAAAAAAATCGACACAGCATAGTATTGCAACATTTTTGTGTGGCAATATTGTATTGTCACACAGTGCAAAGTATCGATTTTTTAATTACAAAAATTATTAATATTATAGATTGAAATCAAACTAAAGCTACCCTACTCGAAAAATATAATCAGTTGCTTTTTCAGTCCACTAGATACATTTTACTGCAAAAACTTTAGTGAGATGGACAGACTGAAAACTTTATCTTATTAGATCATACTGGTGTTGACCAAGTTTTCCTTTAGGGACATTATTTACAGTTGAAAACAGGTAAATAATCGCAATACGCGGCATATTGCAACACGTTTAAAATCACAATAATATTGTATCGTAAGTAAAAGTAAAGTAAAAGTAAACAACAACTTTTGAAATTTGTGCAATATTGAGCAAGAGGGCTGCATCCGGCATTCCAGCAAACAGGCTACAAAGTAAACACTCAGGGCATGTTCATACCGTCAATAAATGTCCACTAAAAGTAGTTGTTGTTTGCCACTGACAGGTTCAAATTGTTATTCTAAGAGTCTGACAACATTACAGGAAGGATCCCTAGAGATACAGACCTATTTGTTAAAGAGTAATATCTCTTTTGTTAAACTAGAAACAACCCCGAGATCGCCAATGCCAAACCCATCAGGTTGTATTTAAATGAACAGTAACTTCATAATCATAAAACACACTTCATTCAAAGGTGACTGAAACAAAATAAAACTCATCTTGCCATCTTTGTTCTTCTGTCCATCATTCCAACTGTCACCGACTTTAATTTGGTTGCGATAAACCCTTAATTCACCCAGTTAGATGTGAAGATACGCTGGATGTATATATGAGTCTTGTTTGCCACTGACAAGCTCATATTGTTACTCTTGGTGTCTGATAACATTATGGAAAGCATCCCTACAGTGATAAACCTTTTTGTTAAAGAGTAAAATCCTTTTTGCTAGCCAGAAATGGCTACGAAATTGCTATTGCCGAAGCCACCAGACTCCATCAAAATAAACTGTAATTTCAGTGTGTGGCCTATAGAGTCTGCATAATTTCACATCTAACTGGGTGAATTAAGGGTTTATTTCAACCAAAGCAGAGTACATTGTTGTTGACAAGTGGAAAGACAAACGTACAAGGTGTTTGTGGATTTTATCTGGTTGCGGTCTTCTTTGAATAAAATGTGTTTCACGATGATAAAATTACTCTTCACTTAAATGAAGTCTGGTGTGTTTGGTGATAACAGTGGCTGGGCTGCTTCTGGTTAAACTAAAATGATCTTGCTCTTAAACAAAAATGTCTGTCTCGGTATGGATCCTTTCCATAATGTTGTCAGACACCTACAGTAACAATCTGAGCCTGCTAGTGGCAAAAACAAGTTATTTTACTGGACACACCCCGAGGGTGTGTATGTCCCAAGTGGTTACATTGCAGTTTGTTTCACAGCTGCTGGCTGCAGCCCTCTCACTCAATACTGGTTTAATTCCAAAAGCTGTTGTTCAAAGTCACTTAGACACAAAAACATTAGAAATTGGTTACCCTATTAGACGCTAGGGCTAGACAAATTGTTCTCACACTTAAGGTCACATATTGGTCTCTCACAGAGACAGAAATAAAAGCACACAATACCAGTAAGCTTGAGATACTGCATTCCCAGGACCCACTCACTCAACATTTGGTACTCTTAAAAGTACTCTTAAAACAGTAGAACAGCCAAAAGTCTTCAAATTCCTGAAAAATAAAAAATAAAATCCTCACTCTCATGGTCTGAAATACAAACAGGTCCTAAAAAAAAATTTTACAAGAAAGAAGAAGAAAGAAGAAGACACACACAGACAGCAAAATGCTCTCTCACATTCAGTATGCCAATTATGAAAAATACAGAGGTACAAAGAAATGCCAAGACTGGACATGACCTCGGGTCTCCTCGTGCTCCCTGGGCCTGGGGCGGCGTGGCCGGTCCCCCCTGGGGGGCTGTTTCCGCCCCTGGTGGTGCGGAGTGGGTGGGCACCACATACACTCACTCTCCGGGGTGCAGACCACGGATGGATTGGGGGGCTTCATAATGGGACAGGCTATGGGACAGTAATGTCCGGTAGCCCTCCATACTGCCCCCAGGCCCATCCTTATCTGTTCTCCAATTTTAAAGCACCACATACACCTACATCTTGGGGGACAGATGGGAACAGGTTCCAGGTGCCTTATGGCTGCACGGGCTGCAGGACAGCAGTGTGCTGTAGCCATCAGCCTTGCCCCCACCTGTCTAATATGTCCCTCAATTTTAATGCAACACATCACACTTATGGGCACTCACATTCACATTCACGGTGTAGGGTTAATGTTTCTCAGTCAGGGATCGGAGAATCATAGTAAGAGGGGGGGTGGTGGGTTTACACACACTGTAGATACGCATGGCGTGGCTAGTGGGGCCCGGCCCTCCTGGGCTGAGGGTTGGAGCCAGGGAGCCCATTTACATCATGGTGGTTTGGCTGGGTTCCCGGTGTCAGGGGGGTCCCGTGGCCCTGTGGCGGGTGGGCCGGGTGGCGCCCTGGGGGCTCTGTGGGTTCCTGCCGGGGTTCTGCCTCCTAACCGGCTGTGGTTTATGGGCCCTCTGCTAAGAGGTCCCGATGGGGGATTGACTGCTCGTGGCAGTCCGCTTTCTCCTGTGTGTTGGTGGGGGTCCATCCTGGGGGGTTCGGGAGGGTGGCCCTTCGCGGTCCCCTGGTTCCCGATGCGCCGGGGACATATGCCTTGCAGTATCACCGCCTCCTTGCCTCCCTCGTCCGCCCGGGCCTGGGTGGGCTTTCGTTACTGTCCGGTCCAGCGTCTGCTGGTGGCCGGCGCCTGGTGCGGGCCCGTCCGGTGCGGTGCTGGTTCTCTCCCCGGGGGTGGTGCCGGGCCCCCGCGCCTGGCTCCTTGGGTCGGGGGCGGTCCCTGGGTGCGTCTGTGGGTGGGGGCGGGCGGGTGGTCGGGTGCGGG